TGCCTCACTGTGTCCCTTGGCTCACCCTGCCCTGAGCACTGGGGAGAGAGATGGCCCCATCTTTAGGCTCTGCATTCTTGTCCCATCACAGCCCCTGAAAGATGCCGCCCAGTGTCCCCAGAGGACCCTGACCTCTGCTTTGAGCTCATATGAGTGTTTTCTGTTCCTTCAGATGCAACCAGAGAGAAGCTTCTGAGGGGCACTTACATGTCATAGCTGCCCTGCTCAACAGCCTTCAGTGGCTCCCTATTACCACAGGATCAGGGAGAAGCACCTCAAAGCCCTACACTATTGCCTGCATCTTCCACCTAAACCACGCCCTGGCCTCCATCTTCAGACCGTTCTTTCACCAGGGACCCTCTCCTCCCCACTCCCACTGCACCCTCTATCTGACAGCCCAGCCAGGACATCCCTTTGTCCCCATGCCCTCTCCCCTACCCCACATTCTGCAGGGTAACTCCTGGGCAGAACACGTGGCAGTGCCCAGAGGAGGATGGGAAGAGATGGTGATTCAGGCGGAGGGGCAGGCTGGTCCACAGGAATGGTGGCTGGCGAGGCCCACAGTAGCGGGAGCACTGGGTGGATGGCTCAGCCAAGTTGAGTTGTCCTACTCGCCCCTCTCCCAGCGACAAGGAGTTTCTGCTTTTCCCCCACCCATCAGCTGCCTTGGCATGCCAGCTGTGCCCTTGGGGCCTTGGAGACCTGCCAGAGCAACAAACACTTCTGCTCAGCATACAGGGCTCGGAGCCCCGCAGTCCCCCTCCTGCTCCCAGCACCCCTGGTGGTGTGCCCCTCTTCCCAGCAGGAATAAGACAGGCAGAGGGCAAGGTAAGTGAAGGCAAAGCTGGAGGAGGAGGAAGGGACTGGGGTGGGACAGGGGCAGAGGACCCAGTGCAGCCAGGGCCTGAGCAGAGAGCAGGGCTTTAGCCTGCGGTTGCTGAAACTCAGCAGTTGGGGTCACAAAGGAGGCACTCACTCTGCCGCATCCCCACTCGCGGCCCCCTGGACCCCTCTCCTCCTGCCTCCATTTCTTTCCCTGGGGCGCCCTATCCCTACACCCAGGTGCACCCCACTCTGTTCTCCAGGTCTTGCTTTTCCTCATGTCTCCACACCTCTTTATTTGCTGTCAGCTGAGCCCCGCTGTCCGTTTTATGGGACCCAGCAGAGTTGAGGGGGATCCCTGAATCTCAGAGCTCCCTGGTGGCTCACATTTTCCGGGTAGGCCCAGGAAGTGGGTGGCGAGGGGAAGGGTCCCCCTAACTGGCGTTTGGCCTCCCGGATCCCTCTCCGACTTCTCTGTCCGCCAAACCCGGCCCGGGCCCACCTTTGCGCAGGTCCACGGTGCGCAGCTCGAAGGGGATGCTGTTCTTCTTGGCGAAGATGTAGACGGCGCGGCAAGGCTGGGACAGCAAGTCCAGGTACAGCTCCAGGCCCATGGTGGGGGCAGGCCGGCCTCGCGACGCCAGGGACACCGGACACAGCAAGGCGGGCGCTGGGACTGACGACCGGCGGCGCGGCCCACCCCCCGGCCTCTCCCCATTGGTGCCCGGGCCTCGCACTTGGGTCCAATCGCCCGCGCGCGGCGGGTCTGCGGGCTGGGCGGGGGGCTGGG